TGTGGAACGCATTTGTTAAAATATCTAGGTATTCTAATAGGTTTGTTGTACAGCTCTTGCTTTTCATAAAACCAAGTTGTTTTTTTGAAAGTAAATTATTTTTTATGAGATGTTGCATGATACAATCAGCTTTTATTCTTTCTAACACTTAACATGGTATTGAAGTTAACAAGACTGGTCTGTAGTTAGATGCTTTTAATTTGCTTCCTTTTTTAAAAAGTGGCATTACATTTGCCTTCTTCCACATATCTGGTAGGGTACCTGTTTCCATCGATTTTTTGAAAATTAAATATAATGGGTATGATATTGACGAGCTGCATTCTTTTAAAACATATGGATGAACAAAATCAAAACCGACTGATTTTGACTTATCAAGTGCTTGAAGTCTAGTTTAAACATCATTTTGTGTTATTAAAACTGTGTTTATTAATAAATTATTATGAAACTCAATAATACTTGTACAATTATCATTAACATACACAGAATGAAAATATTTATTTAGTTCAGTAGCTAAAGTGAATTGATCATTTATGATTTCCCCATAATCAATTTCCAGAGCTCGAATTTGAGTTTTCACTGATTTCTTCTCATTGATATATTTATAAAGCAATTTAGGATTTGATTTAAACTTGCTAGCTAAAGTACTTTCTAATTGTTTTATATTGTTCTTAATATCATTCTTTATTCTAACTTTTAGCTTATTATACTGAATTTTTGTTGATTCCTCAATCCAGCCATTACGTTTATTAGCAAGCCATATATTGTTTTTAGTTCTTATTTTATGTTTCAATTCAGGAGTAATCCATTTGTTTCTGTTCCTTCTATTTTGATAATTAATTTTTGGGATAAACAGATTAGTTGCATAATTGTAATGATACAAAAATAAATCATGCATTTCATTTATAGATTTACTTTTAAATCCATTTTCCCAATCTACAATATTGAAATGGCAAGAAAATAGTTCATAATTTCCTTTTTGATATAATCTAATGGACTTCTTATGTTCGGTTAAAAACTTATAATCATTCATTAGATAACAACACTTTAACAAATAATGACCCTGTTTGACATTCTCTAAAGGAGCTGAGTGAGTTATAGAAACAATTTTGTTTTAATCTTTTGTGATAATAAGGTCTAGAATATTAGTTGATTTGTAGTTTGCTATTTGGAATGTTGGCTCACATACACATTGAAACAGAAACAATCTTCAAGACATTCAATAAATTTATTAGTTTGAGATTCATTATCAGTTGCTGAAAAAGGACAATTATTATCAGACCAATCTATTGTATTATAAATGAAGTCATCTGTAATAATAAGATCGCTGTATTCTTTTTGATAAATACTCAGTTTAGCAGCATTAATAGATAGCAAAACATTGTTATTATACTCATGAGATATATCTGGTGGTCTATAAATGCATCCAATTAGCATTTTGTTATTTTTAAAACATATACAAGTCCATATTTGTTCTATAAAATTATTGTTTAACTGTAAATTATTTGTTTCAAACTGATTAATACATTGTTTTACATAAATACAAACACCTCCTCCATAGAGTCTTTCTATCACTTCTAAAAATATTATAACTAATTATATTTACATTTGATTCTGCTTTAAACCAAGTTTCTGTAACACAAATAACATCCGGTTTATATATTTCACATTGTAACCTTAACTCATCAATCTTATTATTCAGAGACGTTGCATTTGTATACCAAATCATCAGTTCATTACATTTTTGAGTATTGTGCTCCTTGTTTATACTTAAATCACATTTATTACGCTCATGAAAGTTTACTATTTCAATATCTAGCTGTCTCTTATTGCTCAGCAACTTGTTAAGATTTTGACCTCCACCACTAAACAGATTTATTTTATTGTTAGTTTCATAGTTTAAGCATCGAATGTGGTTTAAGTCTTTTTTGGCATTTAGTTGCTATTTTTTTATTTTTACAACTTTGTCATTTCTAATACCAAAGTAAAAGTTTGCCGTGTTAATATTGTCATTATTTAGTTTTTTACACTCTTCTCTTAATAGCTTTGATTTGTACCATTCAGATTCAGTCAAATCAGGATTTATAAATACACTTTCGTATGTTTTATCTTTCTTCAATTCCTTGGCATTTTTGAAAACAGAATTACGTTCCAATTTATCATTTAAAACAACAATATATGGAGCTTTATATCCATTTTTTGACTTTAATTTGATAACATTTTTTATTTTGACATTGAACTTCAACTTTTTCATGATTGTTTCAATATTTTGTTTATCTTCTTCAATAAGTTTGACTTCATCACTTAATGTTGATTCCTCTAAACCGAAAATAACCAAGTTATTTTCTCTTTTATCTCTTTCTTTGGTTTCATTTGCGATAGTATTAATAATTTGCATTTGATCTGGAGTTTTTTTTACTTTACTAGTCCAATCACCTGTCACTGCTGAACTAGATTTTGATTTAGAATTTTCTAAATCCAGAACTCTCTTAGTCAAGTTTGCATTATCTGTTCTTAAAGTTTCGATTAACTTTTTTAAATCTACAATTATTGCTTCTTGCTCACATTTGTAAGTATTGAAATCACCTAGTTGTAAGTTAACCATTTGGATTACTGGATAGGAGGGCTACCACCCTAAATAACAGTGGATTACCTCCTGTCAGTGAAATTTTAATGTTATTATTATTAGTTTTGCTTATTACACTGGGACTAAAAAGTTTCAGTATGTGTTTTTTTCCGTCCACCACCAAAGTCATTTTTTGAATAATTACTATGTTATAATCTTTATTAACTTAAGATAAATAGCATTCCTTGGTTTAAACTTTTATTGTAAATAAAAAGTCTAAAATACAAAAAAAAAAAGAAAAAAAAACGTATGTAATAAGCGAAATGAAAATACTATGAATATATGAATATGAACTATGAATAAAAAAATGAACAACTGATGTCAATTGACAAATAAAGTTTTTATTTTATTTTTAAATAAATTGCTGCGATTTTTGAATGACTTTGAATTAAATGATTTGCTATGCTTTTTCTTTTGTAAAGAAAGTAATTGTTTTCAATCAACTAATTTTTTTCTTCGTTTTGTGTACTAAGTATTTCTACGTTTATTGTGAAACACATAAAATTTAAGTCTGTTAATTACAGGATTAAAAGTTTTGTTTTTTTTAATGATTTTTTTCAACTTTTAGGAAATTTGAAAAAAATTGGGAATTCCACGATATACGCGGTGTCATCAGGCTGGTTAACATCCTGTATACAAGGCCGGCGCGGTAGGGGTGTGTGGGGGTCACAGCCCCCATCAATGATTTTTAGTCGGCAAATTAGACCCTTAGTCGGCAAATTGGACCCTTTTAGACTAGTAAGTCGGCAAATGTCAACCCTTTCGTTATAGGTTAGTCAGCAATCTAGACAGTCGGCAAATGTCGTCATGGCAGTCAGCAAATTTTGGAAATCAAGGCCCTTTTTTTTTTTTTTGGCAAAATATAATGGCACCCCCCCCCCCCCACGTGACACCTACTCGCGCCGGCCCTGCCTGTATGTATGTATATATATATATATATATATATATATATATATATATATATATATATATATATATATATATATATATATATATATATATATATATATATATATATATATATATATATATATATATATATATATATATATATATATATATATATATATATATATATATATATATATATATATATATATATATATATATATATATAAACAAGAATTATAAGTTTTGTTAACTATGTGCAAATTTGTCATTAAGAACTTCTTATATAGCTTTGTTTGATAAAAGATATTTGTCATGTGTTTAAATTACTCAATAATCTAGTCAAAATAAAAAGTCTATAAAAAAAAAATTAAATAAATTAAGTATATGTTTGGAGTTATTAAGTCATTACAAGACTGTAATGACTTAATAACTCCATTATTAAGTCATTACAGTCTTGACAGCATGGTTGGAGTCAAATATGTATTTGTTTTTGAAATTATATTTCGTAGTTATAGGCTAAATTGGTTTATTTATATTCATACTAAATTTGATTAAAAAAATATCCTAAATATTTGTATTAGCAATTGTATTTGAAAATGTAACTGTTAAAATGATTTTTCCAAAAAAAAACCTTAAACTTAGTTTGACCAGTGTTTTGTAGGGAAAAACGAAAAGATTTGTTGTTTTTTTTTATTTCTAAAATAAGTTAAAAATTAGTTAAAAGATATGATTTCATTTTTCAATTCAGTATACCATTTTACCACTATTGTATTAAAAAAATTGTATGTTTTCTGAACTTAACAAACAAATATTAGTATTTTTATTTGTATTGTATTGTACAAATAAATTTGCATTTAAAATTGTATTTGAAAATCTGAAATTAACTTATTTGTATTTGTTTTTTATTTGATCAAATGTATTTGAACTCAATCCTGCTTGTCCAATATTTTAGACCTTATTTCTTATATGTTTCAAGTATGGCAAAGCTAATATTGAACCTCTGACCTCTTTATTCAGAAGCAAACTCTTTACCCACAGCACCACAGATTTATGCCAAACTGAGTTTATTATATAAAAACTATCAATCAATATTCAAAACTACAAAAATTGCATCATTATCAGGAAAAGCTGTTTTATGATTTTTTTTTTTTTTTTTTTTTTTTTGTGGTTTATTTAGATCAATATCACTGCAATAGTGCTTTCATTAGAAATTAAAGCTACTAATGAAACAATACATCACACTGAATTTAGTTTTAAATCAGGAAAGACAATGTGGAAATAACTTAAAAAACATAACTGGTGTTTTTGTACTTTCTGCTAAATATTTACCTGTATACCAATTACATCGAAGCCTACTTGTTATAATATAAAAAATGAAAAAAATTTTCTTATTAAAATAAACATTTTAACTAAAATAAACTTTTTAAAAGGTTAAAAAGATTTTTTAAATATTAATTTCTAATTTAAATAAGTAAATTAAGCCAACCTGGTAAAGAATTCCCCACACTAAAACTCCATCAGCGTAGTTAAGTGAATTGCTGAAGTTTCCATAATCATTTAAATAATGAACAATGTGAACCTTATTAAAACAAACAAAAAATGCATTATCAATTAAAAACAAACAAGGTTTACACAATATGATAATTAGACAATAAAAGTACAGTTTCTTATATTGCAAACTTTAGTGTGATGCCAAAATATTTTATACATCTGAGCTCAAGAGAATACAAACCTTAAACAACTAAAATAAGCAATTTTTTGGTAAATCTTTTTTGAATATTTCCAATAGACTTTATTAAGATAGTTCGGTGTGTCGAGTTAACTGGAGAGCAATATATAATAATTGGTCTTATTTAAGTGGTAATTACAAGTTTTAAAAAATTTTAAAGATATTTGCTGCATAGATGATTCTAGTGTTTTTTCTAGTTTTGGTGGGAGCGCGTAGGTACTAGAATATCTTTTGGGTTAGATAACCAATCTAAAATATAATCACCTAACTTATAGTTAAAACTAATACTTTAATGCATTGGAGCAAATGTTTTTGCATTTACCGATGTGCAAAACTCTTCTTGCTAGTAATTAGCAATTACCAAGTTTCTGACCAAAAGAATAACTCCATGAAATGATAGCTTTGATTCATATTATGATATGAGCTTTATAACTTTAAGCCATCACCATAAAGCTTTATTGTACATTCAAGATTGTTTACTACAGATGATAAGTCAGTAATAAATATTAAAAACAAACTTAGTCCCAGTACTCTACTCAGGGTTGGATATTGAAAATTTTAAAAAGTGCATTTCATATTTTTAAATTCTGTATGCTTGCTTTCTTTCCTCAGTCCATGAACTTATAGTCTAACTTAAAATACCCTAAAAAGTGAAAACTTTCTTAGAACATGTTATGTATGTTTTATGATAGTATAAAATAGTATACTATACTTATAACTATAATAAAAATTAAAATAGTAACAAAACAATTGCTCTTTGATATTAAGTTTTATATTTACTGTATTATTATTAATTATTACTTTGATATTATGTTTTATATTTACACTATTATTATTAATTATTTTTCAATAGTTAATTCTTATTCCAAAAACTAATAAGTTTATCAAAATAGAATTTAAAAAGTAAAAAAAATGTATAAAAATTTAGTGACGAGTAAATTTAGTGACTGAGTAATTTTTAAAACAAATATAAACAATTTAACTTTTATAATTTTCACTTAATTTCATAAATCTGCAAAACAAAATTCTTAAGTTATAAATTAAAATTTTTACCATCTTATAAATATATGATTTAGTAAGTTTAATGTATATAAGTTGGTATAAACTGAATTTAATCACTACAATTAGACTTGAAATAAAATATAGATCTGATATTCACACCTACGTATCATGTAGATGGTGATAATCTTGGATAAATTCTTTAATCATTTAAAACTGTATTACTGGCAATTAAACAAAAACTGATCTTTGCACAAAATTATAGTATTTTTTTACACAAAATAACATGCTGCTTCCATTCATAATGAATGACATATTAAATCTATTAGAACACAGTAAGTGTAAGTGTTTTACTTATATCTAGCTGTACATTGGCATTTGTTTATCTGATATAGCAGATAATTTTTTAAGCTGATATAGTTTTTTTTTTATTCTTTGTGCTTACAATAGCACACCTTTTTTTTTTTTTTTATTAATTTGGTAATTAAAAAAATTTGTTTCAAGAATATAGAAATCTTATAATAAAAATAATTACGGTAAATACGGAAATAATTACGGTAGTGTGAAGGAGTTTAAAAATAACAACTTTCAAAGCATAACTTTTCAAAAAAATTTAAAATTACCTAAATGAATGACATATTAAATCTATTGGAACACAGTAAGTGTAAGTGTTTTACTTATATCTGGCTGTACATTGGTATTTGTTTATCTGATAGAGCAGATAATTTTTTAAGCTGATATAATTTTTTTTTTTATTCTTTGTGCCTACAATAGCACACATTTTTTTTTTTTTTTTTTTTTTTTACCAATTTGGTAATTAAAAAAATTTGTTTCAGGAATATAGGAATATTATTATTTTTGCAATAAATTGATTAATTTATTTTCATAAAAAAGTTCTTGTTTTGAGGTTTTGTTTAAGATTTTACAACAATACATGGTATTGAGAAAAATTCAACACTGTGTATTGTTTAAATTTAACAAGCTGCTTTAATAATTTGTCAAAAACATATTGGACCTAAATAAAAAACAAAAGTAAATAAAAAGCTAAAGACATATTACAAAATTTATCTTATTACAAAAGCTATAATGAGTCAATTGTTAACAATATTAGAATGACTGATTAGACAATAGTTAAAAGAACAAATCACAAGAGGTTTTATAAACACAAGCAACAGCTGTTAGTTTCTAGCAAGTAACAAAACTAAGTTGAGCATGTGCTTAATAAACTAGAATGTATTGAAGGAAAAAGAATAAAAAACAAACAGAAAATAATAGGTTAATGTATTTTGAGAAAAATATAAATAATTAGAAGAAAAAACATATATAATTAGTAGGAAAGTATAAACATGATTTTTAATTATAAATTTGTTTTATTCTTTTATCAATATATTTTTAGGTACGGCAATTTCCTTTTTATGGTAATATCTCAGTTTAGGGCCCTGCTTTGATAGAGTTTCAGGAACTAAAGTTTTTACAAAAATCGCATAATGAAATTAAACAACAGCTTTTTTTATGTATTGTTGAATATTTATTTAACAAATGTTTCTTTAACAAATGTTTCTTTAAAGTATTAAAACTTAAAATAAATTATTATAACATAAACTAAAGTAGAACGATCATTAAAAATTTCTATTAAATTTCACATTGCGAAAATGAAGATTAAAAAAATCAATTAAAAAAAAAATTAGTTTTTCCCTTTGTGAATAAAATTTGCAAAAAAACATTTTAGTTGGACAGTTAATCTTTTAAGTCTTTTTCTCTAACAAATCAAAATTATTCAGTAGTGCCATTCAGTGGTGACAGAATTAGTTATGTCAGAAATCCAGTAGGTGACAGTCTCAATCCTATATATCAGTAACCTAATTTAAACAAGACTAAAGAGATGTTATGATTTGGAAATGCTACGGTTTGGGGATGTTTTAGTTGTGACAATGTGGGTCTAATTAATTGCATAAGATGTTATAAATTAGAGATACTAAAGTTTTAGCATTAACCTCTAATAAATTTGAATTAAAAATTAGGGAAGTCTTAAAGATACCAATAACAAAAAACTGGCTCATCAACACAATGGAAATGTATTTGAATAATGGTTAATATTTAAACACATGTTTCATTCAGATAAAAAATTGGCATCAATTTAATGTTTTCTTTTAACAAGTTTTTAAATCTTACTTTTATAACATTTTGTAAAAACATCTAGTTTTATAGCCTGATGATGAGACTGTCTTGTGGTCTCAAAATAATACTAATAAATAAAAAAACTTTAAATGTCACCATAAAAAAAAATAGTTTTAAAAATAATTTAGTATATTTGTGCCTGGATTGCTGAGTGGGTTAGAGCGCCAAACAAATTAATAAAAATTGGATTGTAGGGCAATATAGGTTCAAATCCAGTCACTGTCAACTCAGTAATTAAGTAGACCAAATGTTGGTAAATATGTTACAAAAATTTTGGTCAATAACGGGAGCTACTTTTGATTAACCTTTATGACTTAATGTCTCTGTTCTTATGCTAAGCTAACAATATCTTTTGATATAAGAGTATTGTAAATTAAACCATAGCATGAAACTTATTTCATTCATAATGAAAATAAATTTGTTGCAGCTATGTCTTGAAGTTAAACTTTTATGAATTTGCACAACTAATCAAACAAGGACATAATGATATCATTTTGCTATTGTTGAAGGATTTCTAAAAAATTTCAGAGGCCTGTTTTTTTAATGTTTAGATCAATCAAAAATACAAAATTTGTGTAAGATTATTGAAAAAACATTTATTCCTTTTTCAAATTTGAGTGAGTTATGTCTATAAGATTAATAAAAATAATTTTTGTAAACTTTTCTTATGGTCTCAAAACACATTGTTCAATCTTGAAATTTTCAAGAAATCCTTTCCTCCTTAAATGTTTTTTGTATGAATCTGTATCAGATTTGTATCAGACTTTGTATGAATAACTTGTATCAGAGAGAAGAGTTCTGTCAATTTTTATGAATTGCAAAAAACATTCTATTAGTTCAAGTGATTTTTCATTTCTCAAGGCCAAACAAAGTTAATCAATCACAGTATTCAATAAATGATTACAAAATTTTTAGGTTTAAAGAGTCTTGAATGACATTTTCAGCTAATTGTTCTGGTTCAACAAGTTCAATTTAAAAATAAAATAAAGCTTATTAATTCAATTGAAATTTTATGTGATCTTAAATTTAATAAATAAAAATAAATAAAAAACAAAAATCATATCAATAATAATTTTTAAAAAGTCTCTAAAAAGCCTAAAACCCATTTTAAGACCCCTAAAATTGTAAGGCCCTAGGTAGGCCCTGGTTAGTTAGTCTATAGATAAATCAGGCACTGGTTGCAATATGCAAAAGATAAAATGACTTGTAAATGAATCTAATGTGTAAAGTGGCGGGATAACTTAGATGGTTAGAGCCTCAAAGGAAAATTTAAAACCCGGACTGTTGAACAATAGGAGATCAAATTCCGCCACGCAAAAAATGTTGGTCAATAACAGACGCTATTTTGAATTAGTCTTAATGACTTATTGTAGCTGTTCTTAATGACTATTTATAAGCCAACAGTACCTTTGGATATAATAACATTGTATAAAAAAATATAGCATGAAAACTCAAATAAATAAAAAAAAATTAAAAAATATCGAAAAAATGACTCAAAAGAAGAATTATTTTAAACCACAAGAAACTAAAGTTCTTGAATGGCCTTCACAAAGTCTAGATTACAACCAATTGAACATCATGGGAGAACATCTACGAGAAATTAGTTAATAAAAAACCAACTAACAAAGACCATTTATTTGCTTTGATTGAAAAATGTTGGTATATTAATAAGGATATTCTTAGCATCATTTCTTGGGATGGTATCATTAATTTAGTTGATTTAAGTCCCTATCCCTATGATGCTTATTTGAAAGCAAATAGATATGCCACTTAATCCTAAATGTTTTATTAAAAATTACTTATAAAAACTAATTGTAAAGTTTTTAAGTTGTTAAAAAAAAAATTACTAGTTTTTGAAATAGACTTGTTTCTAAACTTTAAAATAAAAGTCTAACAACTATAATTTATAATTTTTTTTTTTGTATTATGAATTGAACTAACATAGAGAAGATATAATAAAAATTTCATCTGATTTAAAAAAGTTTGTGAAAGTTTATGCTTTAAAAACTGAAAAACAATTGGTCTTTCAAATATTTGCATGCTGCTACAGGTCAGTAGTTACAAGAAAGTAAAAAAGAAGTTAAAAAGCTGAGAAGTTAAAAAGGTTAGGAAAGTCAAGAAAATTAGAGAGAGAAAAAGAAAAAGTTGAGAAAATTAAGAAGTTAAAAAGAATGTTGATTGAAAGAAGACAATTACAACACTGTGTGATAAAACTATAAATTGAGGAAATATGTCAGAAAATATAATGACCAGAGTCAGGAATGACTAGAGAGAATTTCAGAGAGTAATGACTAGAGAGAATTTCAAAACAAGAACCTGAAGGAAAAAATCTAGATAAATAATTTTTTTTTTGAGCATGAAAAACAGTAGAAAAATATGCAACTTTGTTGAATAACAACTCATCAAGATTGACTAGAGAGAATTTCAAAACAAGAACCTGAAGGAAAAAATCTAGATAAATAATTTTTTTTTTGAGCATGAAAAACAGTAGAAAATTATGCAACTTTGTTGAATAACAACTCATCAAGATTGGGTTTTGTTTGGTGGAACAAAATGATATGATAGCTAGAAAAGCATGAAATACCTTAGTTTGTAAAAAACTAGGTATTTCATGCTTTTCATGTTATCATATCACACCTTGCTTAGTAAAAAACAAGATGTGATATGTGAAACACCTTGTTTTGTAAAAAACACCTTGTTTTTTACACAAACAAGGTGTTTCACATTGGACTTTACCTGAAAAAGTGCTTATTCAGAAGATTTAGCACAAATATGACAACAACATTCCATATATGGATGGATATGAGATTTATAAGAGCTAAATATGTAAGCACCATCAACCAATATATATTTGTGCTTATCTATTTCATTAGTAATAAATTTTAACTATTTTGTTTGTGGATCTATTTAAGTTATGAGTAACATTTACTGTTTTAAAATTTCTTAAACTAAAAAAAAAAAGAATAAGAAAACTATTTTTTGAACAAAAATAATTTAAATTAAACAGCTTTTAACAAAAAACAATTAAAAAAATAATATTTTGTTTTTTGAGCTTTTGTCACTACTTTTCAATGGTTTTGTCAATGAGTTTGAGTGACTGACACATATCTTATGCCAAATAAGAGTAACATATTCAACTCCTTCTTCCTTAACCAATTTTTATTCAAAATAGCTTTAAAATCCTATTTATTGAATGTACTTAACTTTTTAATTTCTTTAGCAGCTATTTTATAGTATTTACCTTAATCGACTATAAAATTAAGAAAAGATTTTTTTCTCAGCATTTGAAAAGTACTTCATAAAAACTTAAAAATAAATAATAAAAGTATAATAAATATAAAGGTGCTCTACAACTTTTAATGGGGCCTCAAACATAGAAAAATTTTTTTTTGCGAGGTGTTCTACCCTTACTTTTAATCAATAAATCTTAACTACATTTATAAACAATGCATACGGCTAAACAAATCAGTTTGACTGTCCTCAATTAATTTCATTTTGTCTACCCCTACAAATTCCAGCTTTCAGACATAAAAAAGTGCAAAGTTGAAATTAGAGTTTGCAAAGAGTCTATCCTTTGTTTAATGTTAGTAATAATTTTTATTGGCAGTGGTGTCAAAAAATAATTATTTTATTTTATTGATTGACAATGCATGAGTTTTAAATTATTGCATTTTTTCTTCAAGTTATTTAATAAAAAAAAAAAGCATTTAGTATGATAAAAAAAACCACCCATATGTTTTTGGAAATGACTATATAGTCCCAACAGACTAACATTGTAGTAATATGTCATCATTTGTGTTTTATGCTTTAATTATACAAAAAAAAATTCTTAAAATTTATAATTATTATTAGTTTAAGTATATGCAGTAATTCAAAAATAATTTAAATCAAATTTACTTCAAGTGGAAAATGCTTATTGCTTAATAAATGTTCGGAACCAAATGTATCATTTTCACCCCAATGAAAGTGCAATCCATAATAGTTGTACTGCTTTCCTGAAAAAAAATTAAAAAAAAATAAAAAAATGAATAAATAACCTAATAACATTTAAATTACTAATGTGAAATAATATAAAGTAAAAATCTAACATATATTTACAGTGTAACATATAAATATTTACAGTATTTACATGTAGTATGCACATACTGTAAACACATTATTCTGTTAATATGTTACACAATGTTATCAAGTTAAATAGTTAATGTATAAACATAAGTTTTAAAAAAATCATATCAAATGTAATATTATTACGGTAAAAATAATATTATAATAACATTTATAAAATTCATACAAACTAAAAAAACACCTTAATTTTTAAAGCTACAAAATAAACAGTTATTTATTTCTTTATAAGCTATAAATGCTAAATTTAAATTAATACTAACTATTCTATAAGTCTATTTGTTCTGATTTTTTTTTATTTGATTTGACTTGGCTTGAGTCTAGTTTAGTTAAAACTTTGATGTGCATATGATTAAATTATAATTTAGATCCTCTTCCAACTATGCTACTTTGTATATTAAATTAAACAGTTATATCCATTAAAGCCAGCAAAATGGAAATAGAATCATACCTGCACAAATAATAAACCACATTAATACAAGAGTAGAATATTCATTAAATGAAACAGCATATAAGCATGGGTATTAGAAAGATATACAAATAAATGCATTTGTTTTGTCAGCTCTATTTGCAAATGATTATGTTCTTCCTAAAATAATAAACAAGTCAAATTTAGAAAAATCTATTTTTCAGCATCAAGCATGTAAGTCAATAGGACTATTTGAGAAAAGCAACGATAGGCAACAGTATTTAACAAGGCATTTTACTACTTCTTCTGAAAAATAGAAGGAGTTTCCAGAAGATTAAAGCCACAATTGTGCTATTCCTTAAGGTGGTATACCAGGAAATAAAGTTTATATTTTTCAAATTTTTCAAATTTTCAGTTTAAATTGTTTTAAGATAATTAATTATCCCTGAATTCATTTCTGAAATCTGTTTTTCAGAAAAATAAACACAAAAGGTTTATTTTAAGATTTAAACGAGGTGGTTAAAGTAATATTCCATAGCCCAACGGCCCCTATCAACACACTTTTCTATCTTGTTTTCAACGAATTTTTGTATACTTGGCATACTTTTCAAAAAATTGAATTTTAGTATGATGGTTAAGTCTGTTCTATACCGTAGATAAAAAAAAAAAATAATCAAACTACATTTACTTTCAGTGTTATATAAGAGATGTATAAATGACAAAACTTTATATTTATGTTTACCTGTACTAATGAAGTTGTATGTGGATTTTAGTTTTTTTTTTATTTAAATATAGCTAATATAAAAAGTAATGGGAAATAAAAAAAATCATTTAAGAAAAGTGAAGAGGACATTTGCTGGGAACAAGTTCCAAAAAGCAAGTAAAAACGAAATAGTAACAACAACTTTACTAAAAAAATCATGTAGTGCTAAAAAGCTTAGCAAATTTAAATTGAATGAAAAACAGTGTTCAGATGATTTTAATTTAATTATGTATTTTCCTATTCTCAAAGAAATATTAATGCAAGTTGGTAGCTGTCCAGATTGTCAAAATGGAGTAACCATACAAAACGATGATTCAAAGAGAATGGGATTTTCACACAGTTTGAAAATCAAATGCACATCATGTTCATATGAATGGTGCACTTTTACAAGTAATACTGCAGACAAAAGCGCACAAAGTAAAGGTAGGAGTGCATTTGATATTAACTTAAGAATGATTATTGCTTTTTGTGAGATTGGTCAAGGGCATGAACCTATGAGTCGTTTTGCTTATATTACAAATATGAGTTGCATGAATGTAAATGGTTTTCAACATAATCATAAATTGATTCAAGCTGCTTATAATTCTGCTGCTAAAGATTGTATGAAGTTTGCTGCAAATGAAATTAAATGCTGTTGAAAAATCCACTACCGGTGTTCCATTAATCCAGGTTTCCTTGATGGTACTTGGCAGAAACGAGGACATTCTTCTCTTAATGGTGTAGTTACTGCTATAAGTACCTTGGAGATGGGGACTCCTTTTCTTTTATTTATGTAGTAGCAAGTGATCCTTACGCTGAGTATGATATCAAACCAGAAAAGTTAGAGTGCATTGGACATATTCAAAAAAGAATTGGAACCCGCCTCTGTAATCGTCGTAAAGAGAAACATGGAGGGCTAAAGTTAACTGGAAAAAACAATCTGACAGAAAGGGCAGTGAATATCAGCCAGAACTATTTTGGAATGGCTATTCGAAAAATTGCTAAAAATTCGCCAAACTGCTAAAAATTGCAAATTAAATGATACACAAAAGATATACCAAATGAAAAAAAACATTAGAGCAGTACTTTATCACTGTATTAATTTCAACAGTCAATCACAACGCCATGTTTTATGTCCTGTAGGACCTGAAAGTTGGTGTAAGTGGAAAAAATCAGAAGATGACCAGGGAAATGACAATTATAAACCAAAAGTTAATCTACCTATATGGGTTCATGATATTATATTAAATGATTTCGTTTTTGAGTATCTAAATATACCACACAGTGGTAAGACTGTAACCGGTTCATTAAAAAAGGACAAGCGTCGTGTTAGTAATATGGAGAGAAAAGAAAAAACTTTTGTTAAAATAAGAAGAACTCAATTAAGGGGATTATCTAAAGGCTGGTTTGATAAAGAACTAGAACTTGAAGCTAAAAAATCGTATGCTTCTGGAAGTTTTTAGACTGTTTTTTATCTTTACATTTTTAGAATGCTGTTTTCTCAATATGTCATTTTTTGCTATTTACCTTTACGTGGAACAAGATATTTCCAGATCGGTTTAAGATATGGAGCTGAAATTTTCAGCATTTGCAGTTATAACTTAGATCTGGAGACTGAACTAAAATCAAGACATAAGGTGCTCTATTTACAGTGTTATTACTCATTGTTCATGATTTTTTCATGTAGACCCTCTGAAAAGTGGTATAAGTTACAGCAAATTTTTATAATTGGCCTTTGTACTTGTGCAATGAACTTCATTTTAGTTCAGGAACTAGATAATATAAGCAAAATTATTTGTGCAAAATTTCGAAAGAAAAAGATAATTTATCTTTGAGTTTTCTTGTTTCATCCATGTGTACAGTTTAATGCCTTTTTCGGCTAAAATTTGATGTTTTTTTATAAAAAATTTCAGAAATTTAAATTTTTTTTCATAACTAGTATATAAATTTTGCTATTGGAACTATTTTATTTGATATTCTAGCCTTGGTTGGTTTAATTGTGAGTCTAGCAGGTTATTTGCTGATTGATGTGATTTAAATCTTTATTGGTAATGGATTAACAGTGTAAGTAGATCATCACATTATCTTGATGAAAAAATTATACAGAATTAGAGGTCATGCATCCATACATCTTCTAGTTTCTGCTGCCTATGTCAGATAAAAATCTGGTAATTAAGTTTATGAAAATGCAATAAAATAACAATTAAGTTTCCAGAGAAAGGTTCTAGAGCAAGTCATTAAAATTATACCTGATCCTTGTAAAACTTTGTCTGCCTCAAGAATACTGTGAAATAATATCAGAGAGTAAACGTGAAGAAAGTCATATTTTGGGTTTGGCTTCTATACAAATTAAATTTGATTCACTTTTTCATCAGGTTACGCATTTATCTGACTGCTTCACAAAATATATCAGTTCTAAAACTCAAAATCAAATTGTTTTAGACATGTCGGAAGCAATTCTAAGTCATTTAATCACAAAAACAAGAAATGTCCGTTCTATGCAATCATAATTGATGCTCAAAGTGAAATCAACCAAGTTTATCACATCTCCATAGTCATAGTTGGGTAAATTTAAACTCAGGAAATTCCAATATAAATGAACTTTTTCTTAAATTTCTTGTTATCACAGATATAACTGCTGTAGAATTAAGAACCAGAAAAGGATTGGATGACAATTCAAGGCTTAAAATAGAAGAAGATGCGAGGTTAAGCTATAACTGTGCCAGTGTAATAAGCAGAAAAAAAGGTTTAAAATTATTTATGGGATTATTAACTACTGTACCTGTGCCTTACATAAGTTGCATGTTTTCTCTTTATAATCACCTCCAGTGACTGTTAAACAATACTCAAGATTATCAAAGCCTTATATATTATTAACTTTCAATACTCAAGATTATCAAAGCCTTATATAATATTAACTTTAAAAAATTGTAGATCTATGGTCTAGAATTTTTTAAAATTGATATTCTAGATTGGCTTTTCAAGCAATTAAAAATAAATAAGCTTTTAATCAAACAAAAAGTAACTAATAATTTTGCAAATAAAAAATTATCTAAATAGGTAATCCCACTGGTAGTACATATAAAATATATTAATTTATAGGACTATGTAGATTGGGGGCCTATACAACAAAATAACCTATATAACCAATATACTTAATGCCTATATAATAAAACTACCTTTAATATTATATTAAAACAAATTATCTAACTTAAAAATACCTTTCCAAAATAGACCAACTGTTATGCTACTATTTGAATCCATCCCTAATATTATGGTATGACCATTGTTAGTCAGATAGTAGTTGGTATTATTAAACACTGTTGAATAGTTAAAAAGAAGCAATGAAGTAAGAGATTCATTATAGATAGTTTGATTCTCTATGATATTAATAGGGGACTGTCTTGTTCCATTACAATTAGGGTGATCATAATACCAATACATTGGACCTGAAAAAAAATTATATCAAGAAGAAATTAAATTATGGTAACAGCAAATACTTGAAAAGTTTTATTGTAAAATTTATAAGGTAAAAATACTATGACTCAGAGCTGTCAAGTTTTCGAAATTGGTATGAGGGAGACTTTATTACCATTGCCAAACCAAAAGGGATTTTCACACTAAAAACCTTTACTTTTAAAAAAGAAAAAGTCCTCAAAATTAGACTGAGTGAATTTATTAAAAATATTATCACTTATTTATACCATCGTTATACATTTTAACATTAACTATTTACATTTTCAATGTTCTTGGTTATAACCAAGATCAGCAAAAAGTTATAATCAAAGATTTTGAAGAGTAATTTATCTGCTTCCTGCGTACACCAAAAAAAAACTCTTTATTTTTAATTAGCAATTTCTTATTAGCAACTAGATAGAATATTTGAAAGTATTATTTCAATTCAAATGAACAAACCAGAAATTCAAATGTTTTAAATATGATCACCTAGAATCATTGAAATAGTTTTATGCTTTCAAGTGAGTCTTAGCTTTTTCAATGACATTAGGTGATGGATCATATTTAAAGCATGGTTGACTTTCTGGTCTATTCATTTAAATTGAAATAATACTTACTAATATTCCATCTAGTTGCTAACTTATTAAACTTGCTAATAAAAAAAGAGGGATTTTTTTGTTTTTGTTTTTTGTTTTCTGGTGAATGCAGGAAGAATATAGATTGTCACTTAAAATTTGGGAAACTCCTGCAAAATAGGGGAGACTTGACAGATCTGACTATGACTATGTGAATTTTTAACCCTACGAAAAATGATGAACTCGTAAATTTTACATTGTCATAACTTTTAAACACTAAAAGATTGTTGGACGAAATTTAAAACCTGTAAATGAATTTAAATTTAGTAAAAGATTTCAAAATTTTATAAACATATTAATCTCACACTCTTTACTATGATATATGAAGGTTAAAGGTTAAAAACATTAAAATCAAGCAAAATAAAACTACAGTTGCACTCACAATAAGGCAGCTACATACTCTTAATCAGTATGGATTACCCAATAGACCAGTACTATACCCAATAGTACTAGATTACCCAATAGACCAGACTAGGCCACAGCCTTGGGCCTCTAACAATTTGGGGTCCCAAAGTTAGATGTGAAATTAAGTTAATATAAAAATAAAATAAACTTATTGAATTTTATCATGTCATGATTCATGAAGTATTAAACTTCTTTTAACAAGGTTCTTCAAAAGGGTAAAATTTTTAAAATAGAAAATTTTTCAAAATAGAGTTTTTTTGAAATAGAGAATCTATTTCAAAATATTAAGTCAAATATCCTGTTCTTGCACAACAGGATGTTTGAGATGTTATAAATGATGATTTTAATGAACACTTGTTTTTAATGATAACATTGTTCAACATTTTCTAAAGCTTTATTATAAAGTTATACAAAATAAAACAAAGTTTTAACCCTGCTTTATTTGAGGTTACCCTATCGGCACATCTAGTTTCTTTTTCGGAAATAAAACCTATATAGGCACGTGTTTTTCACGATCCAGGCGTAAACCAAAAGCACGTGTATATTACGGGCAGTTTTACTGGAGTTTAACACGTGATTTTTGAGGTTTTAAAGTCAAATTTAAATGTCGCATATTTTTATCAGTGGTTTCACATTTCTTACAGAAAGTTATTAAAATATAATACTACGTTTCCACAAAGGTGAAACCATTAATACTTTAACTGGTATTTATGGTAAATAGTAATAGTTAATTTCACGGAATAAAAACCATTTAGGATACGTGTTATTCTTTTTGTTTTAGAAGGTTTTAGAAACCAAGCGTAACTGTTTTCTGAGTTGTGCCAACTGGGTACAAATTTTATATTGACATAACTTTTGAACGCTAAGAGATTATACTATGAAACTTAAAATCTATTGATAAATATAAGTATAGTTAAGAATAGTACATAAAATATTTTATCAACTGGTTGCTCTCACGTTTGGGGCAGGGGGAACACAAGTTAAGGGTTTTTTTGTTCCCAGGCTCCAATCATCGCAGAAGCATCTTTACTTAACATAATGTCTGGAAGTTAGGTATTTCTAATGCCAAAGGTCGGCCCTGTGAGGTAATCAATGAGATATTAACAAACGATATAATAGCTCTAATTAATTTGAATGATAAAGTTAAAGTTGTAAAAAGAATTTACATGATAAAGAATAAATATGAACTGGTTATAGCTAATATAGATATAAACACACATGAATACATTATAAATAAGAAAAATGGTAGATTAGCAATTGGGTGGGAGTCTGTGCAAATTAGAAAACATTACAAATATGTTATATAATTGTAACCTTGACAATGTTACCATTGTCAGGTTACAATCATATAGCAAAAAATTGTCACCTAAATACTCCTTCGTGTTACTACTGTTTAGGTGATCATTACAGTAAAGATTGTCAAAATCTTGAAAATAATTGGTGTGTTAATTAAGTCCGTAATAAAATATTAGTCCGACTTTAGAGTATATACACAAAATTTGCTTAAAAATGTTATCAATACAATTTAAAAAATTAATTATTATCCATTTCTATGGTAAAATAACTCCTTAGTTGCTATAATTTAGGATCATATCTTGACATTTTTATTGATAAAATAGGTGTAGTTTAAGACATTTATTTGATTTAAAGTGGTTTGAAGATGATAATAGTAAAAAAATTGACAAGACACTGGGAAAAATATATTTATAATAAAACTTAAATTTTTTAAGCTGAAAATTACCTGACGAAACATATACAAATAAAAAGAGAATTAGCTCTCTGTGTCATTTGGTCAAAGACATAAGAAAAATGCCCCACCGAACTTAAATTCAAAAATTTTTCAAAAGTGAACCAAGATTAAAGAGTTTTAAAATACTTTCAAGTGTTATTTATTTTTATTTTATTTATTCATTTAGCAACTTAATGCTAGTTTAGCAACTTTTAAAAAATAAATGTTCCCTATTACAAAACAAATGTTCACTATATAAGTTGATTATTCTTTAGTGTTTGAAACGTTTTATTTTTATTTTTTCGTAGTCTAGCTGAATAAATTCACAAGCTATTTCCTGGTATAGTTTCAAACCAAACACAAACAATGACTTCTGCCCTGCTCTATTGTATTGGCTGCTTTTATGAAAATAACTATCTTGTCTAGTGTAGGAATTTTAATGTTGATGTAACTCGCTATTTTTTGAATAGAACGGTTAAATATATCATTTTCAGTTGATGTGACATTGTGAATGAAACAGAGTGATTTAAAAATTATTCTGTTTTTTACACTGATCCAACCAAGTTATTTCAACATTTCTGTTTTATGAGTTAACCAGTAACATTTTAATTTAATTCTCATTGCTTTGTTTTGAAGTTTTTTTAGGATATTTAAGTTATTTGTGTTGACATCTAGAAAAATAGACCTTGACAATAAATTCAAGATCAGAATTTACTTTAATGTCATTTTTGTAATATAATATACAACCACCGGTATGAGCACTTGATGTTTCCAAATTTGTAAAAGAATAACCCAAAATTTCAAGCTCTTTTTCATAGATTAAGGACATTTTGTGGGTTTTAGTTAGTCCAAGTATATGAGGTTTACATTTTTGTAAACATAGTGCAACTCTGTCAAGTTTATTTATGAGACCATTTATATTCGCATATTACATATGCAATTTTAATGTTTTTTACTACTATTGATAAGGCCGTATCAAAAATATTAGATATTGCTGTTCGCAAGCAGTTGCCAAGTTATTTTGAAAGTAATAATATTTTTTATTATAATCAATTTGGTTGCAGAAAAAATAGGTCAACTAAATCAGCTATTCAACTATTGCTTTCTAAATTGAGAACGTCTTTGAATAACAATAAATTTGTTATAACAGTAATGCTAGATCTTAAAAGGGCATTTAAAACAGTTAATAAAAAGATTCTTATACAAAAGTTACAAGGTTATAAAGTTAAAGGTACAGTTCTTAATTGGATTACAGACTATCTTTTAATAAGAACTCAAGAAGTCAAAATAAAAGGTGAAGAATCTGGCAAACTAGTTTGTGATAAAGGGTTCCACAGGGTAGTGTACTTGGACCTTTTTTGTTTAGTATTTACATGAACAATATTACATCAAAAATTGAGTACTCTTTTGTAAATTGGTTTGCTGATGATAAATTGATTTGTATTGAGGGTACAAACTTTGAAGAAACTATTTTTAAATTAAATCAAGACTTAAAAATACTTTGTAAATGGCTAATTAATAACAAACTTTAATTAAATATTCTTAAGTCCATGGCAATGCTTATTGTTAATTAAAACAAAAGGAATAATAGTTTAATAAATCATACCATAACATAAAAGTGATATTGGATGATGTAGTCATTGAGTTTAGTAATAGCGTGAAATATCTAGGGATTATTATTGATGCAACTTAATTTTACTGAACATATCAAATATAACTCAAAAAAAATTTTAAATAAAACTGAATATCTTGGTAGAATAAGCAAATACTTAACTCAATGGACCAAAAAGATAACCTTTCAAACTATAGTTGCTCCCCACTACCCTACCGGCACATCTAGTTTCTTTTTCGGAAATAAAACCTATATAAGCACGTGTTTTTCACGATCCAGGCGTAAACCAAAAGCACGGGTATATTACGGGCAGTTTTACTAGAGTTTTTTGAGGTTTTAAAGTCAAATTTAAATGTCGCATGTTTTTATCAGTGGTTTCACATTCCTTACGGAAAGTTATTACAATATAATACTATGTTTCCATAACGGTGAAACCTTAATACTTTAACTGCCCAGCCGGCACAACTCAGAAAATAGTTACGCTTGGTTTCTATTGCGTTTTTAAAACCTTCTAAAACAAAAAGAGTAACACGTATCAAAAATAGTTTTTATTCCGTGAAATTAAATATTACTATTTACCATAAATACCAGTTAAAGTAATAATGGTTTCAC